GTTGTAGTAGTAGTTGTAGTAGCAGTAGTAGTAGTGGTAGTAGTAGTAGTAGTAGTAGTAGTAGTAGTAAGATGCGCACTAGGAGCAGGATTGCTTGCTCAGCAGCAGTAGCACGCACCAGGGATTTTACACGGCTGGTGTTACAAGAAAGAATGTCGGTTGAAGATGTTGACAGGCCTCTACAGCTCTACCCTACAGCTCTAACAGCCGAAGCCTCTGAACCTTACAACGGTGCACTCTACATTCCCCACTCCCCCAGATGCAGCACGAGTTGATGCTTTTGCAGCCTTGAACTCCAGGTGGCTACTATTCCAGCGGAGGTTCTGCCAACAGCAGGGGATTGGGAAAGCGCTGTATGCACCTTTACACACATGCTCACATGTATGCATGCAAGCATGCAAGCATGCAAGCATGCAAGCATGCAAGCATGCAAGCATGCATGTGTGCGAGCATGCAGGCACACAAGCGAGCATGCATGCATGTGTGTATCTATGTATGCACGTATACATGTATGCGTGCATGCGCATGGGCATGTATGGCTGTCTGTATGTCCGTCCGTCCGTCCGTCCGTCCGTCCGTCCGTCCGTCTGTCTGTCTGTCTGTCTGTCTGTCTGTCGGTCGTATTTTTCCCTGTCTGCACATATCCGTACCCGCACACGCTCAAAAAGACTTGCCTTGACCACTCGCAAATTCGAGCTTGTGCATTTGAGTATTTTTGTGCAGATGAATATATATATATATATATTTACATATATATATATACACATATATATATATATACACATATTGTTACTCAACAACTAATGCCTGCAAGCCCTAAGTGCACGGGAGACCTGCTGGGTCGCAAGCTTCCATGTTGTCATGCAGACGTCATCAGGACGCTCCGTTCTCAAATCCCTAGCCCCTTACCCTAACCCCTCATCCATGAGCCCATCCAAACCCTCAACCCTAAACCCTAAACCCTAAACCCTAAACCCTAAGCCCTAAACCCTAAACCCTAAACCCTAAACCCTGAACCCTAAACCCTACACACCTGATCCCGAAACCCCAGACCGTCAAAACCTAAACCTGCAGCCGTATCCCCTGAACCCAAACCCTTCAACCCCGCAGGGTTTTGGGTTTAGGGTTTAGGGTTTAGGGTTCAACCCCCCCAATCTTAAGCCCTGAGCCCTCAACCGAAACCCTTAAACCCCCAAACTCCAAACCCCAATGTTAGGATACGGGAGAGGCGCAAAGACACCGCACAGCTCGAAGGTTGCGGGATAGAGGCCCTGTAGCACAAATGCATTAAACAACAACAGCAATAGCACTAATCAGAATAACAATAAACAATCCCCTAAACCGTGCACCCTAAACCTTCAAAGCCTCAGAATTTCCCCTAAACCCTGCACCGCAAAACCTTAAAAGCTTTAAGATCTCTCCTAAGCCCTGAACCCTAAGCCTTAGAATCCCTCCCGGTTAAACAGGGCACTACGGTTGAGGGTTTAGGGTTTGGGGTTGTTTTGAGTTTTGAGTTTAGAGTTTAGGGTTTAGGGTTGAGGGGTTGATGATACAAATCCTGCATTCCCTTTAGGGTCCTAAACCAGGAGAATTATGGTATACTCCTTATTCTGGGTAATGCAGGATTTCTATCATCAACCGCAGTCCACATGCCGGGTACATTCTCAGCAGCCGTGAGCGAAGCTACATGCGCAGCATCGTTACCGGCACCAGTCAACCCGAAACCCCAATCCTGAAGAAGTGCAATCATGCTCAAGCACCTGCGAAGCGTGTCTGAACCCCATCTCTACCCACAGGCCCCGTAGTAGTTCCTTTTTGGGATTACCGAATAGGATCCTACATATAGGCCACAGTATGGGCAGTATATATTAATATGTCCAGATGTGCCGTCGCTGGATGCCACGATGATCTGATGTCAGCCCTCTGCATGTGGAATGAGCCGTGTTCCTGGCGTGAAAGACACCAATCTCCAGATTCTCTCAAAGCGTAGTCCTTAGCCACGAACCCCAAAACCCCGCAACCCTCAAAACGCACAGAACCTATGTAGAAACACTGGAACCACTGCATTTTTCACAAGGACTCGGAATGGAACCGCAACAAAAGCCGAAGTTAAGTTCCTACCCCCAAGGGTCCTAAGTACTGTTATGGGGGGATACTTTCCCAAACAATTATTACAATCCCTAATATAGAAACCCTACATTCTACCATATCGGTACTTTGGACCCTTTGGGTACACAAACCCGAGAGTCTAAACATCCACCCAGCCCGGTCTCAGGGCTCTGACGGTGCGAGCTCCGGTTCCGCCAGTGTGCAGACCTGGCTATGAGTTCGGCGTCCGACGTATCGGCCCAAGAGCCTAAGTAAGTAAGGTTATAATAACCCAAAGGGGTCCATGTACCCAAATAGTATATACATTGGCCCCTAAGTACTTATATAGGGAGTATTTTTAGTACTTTAAGGCCAAAGTATATCTATTTGGGTACATGGACCCTTAGGGATAAGGATAGCCTTTCTTCGGACACTTATAACTCTAGCTATATCCTTACTTACCAAGTCTCCTGAGCCCTTAAGTACAGCAACTCTGAGAGCTCAGTGCAAATCAAACAACCCTGAAGCCCGAAGCCCTCGGAATCTAAAGCCCCAAAGAGCAAACCTCTTTGTACCTTCTATCGCCCCTTTTGATTCCAACCCTACAAAACTGCTTCAAGATGAATCTACAATCACGATAGTACACGAATCCTTTCAAACCTGAAGCAGTAAACCCTAAACCCTGAAGTTGATATTTTAGCCCGAAACACCAAACTTAAAACTGAAAAGCACGTGCAAAACCTCAAGCCCTAAACCCCCTAACCCCAACCCTAGACCCTACTCTACCCCCCCCCCAACCCTCACCCCTAAACCCTAAACCCTTTAATTATAAGCCTTAAATCTCTAATCCCTATAAACCCTAAACCCTAAAACCCTCAAACCTAAAACCCTAGAAGCCCTCAAACCTAAAACCCTGAAGCTCTAAACCCTAAACCCGAACAAAAACCACCAAAAACCCGCTCTTTCCGGGCCGAGAAACCTTGGGGAGTCGGACTTGGGCTCGGCGTCGCCCCTCGATACCTCCGGCTTACTCGAAGGATCATGGGACTTAGTAAGCAGGGTTTAGGGTTTAGGGCTTAGGGCTTATAGGGTTTGGGGTTTTTGGTCTTGAAAGATCATGGGACTTAGTAAGTAGGGTTATTACTAAGGTAACTATACTTGTAACCCCAATTAGGGGGGCTTATAACCTTACTTACTAAGTCCCACCTTGAGGGGCTCACGGAATCGTCCCCCCCTGCACTCGATGATATTAGAGGTGGGACCTCCGGGAGGCTCAGTGAGGGGGGGAGGGCCCTAAACCCTAAACCCTAAACCCTAAACCTGAAACCCTAAACCCTAAACCCTAAACCCTAAACCCTCAACCGCACAGCAGCGCTTTGCGTGCACCCGTCAGGCGCAAGCCAAGGAGCTCTTCCAGAAGCTGCGGCAGGCGCCTTTCGGGTACTTGGAGGATCATGGGACTTAGTAAGTAAGGGTTTAGGGTTTAGGGTTTACTTGGAGGATCATGGACTTAGTAAGTCAGGTTATAAGTCCCCCGATTGGGGTTAGGCCTTATAGTTATAACCCTACTTACTAAGTCCCATGATCCTTTAAGTAGGCGACGCAGGGAAGCGAGTGAGTCCATGATTCCGGGTCTCTTTGGCGTCTCAGCTTTTGACCGGAAGCTGCTAAAAGTAGAAACCGGCGGAGAAACAGGAGAAGTGCGATCAAGGTTTAGGGTTTAGGGTTTAGGGTTTTAGGGTTTAGGGTTTAGGGTTCAGGGTTTACAAGCTGAGGGTCCCCGCAAGACTCGATCCATCAGAACGCTCCTTCAACACCGATGCCTCCCTTTCTTGTGATGCCGGGGGCCTCTTTCGTTGTGAGCCCTGGAGGCCCTCGTCTCTTTTGCCTTGAAAGATCTCCTAGGAGGGCCAGACCCGAAAGTATGGCAGGACGAGGAGGTACACGAGAGCTTGCCGACCACGACTACCACCACGACGAGTTTGCAGCCTCTAGCAATGGCCGTGAAAGAGGCGGTGAACCCCTAAATCCTGTCAAGCCCTAGACTCTAATGCGCAAACCCCTTTGAGCCCCATATAAACCCTACAGAGGCAGCGTCGAAGGACGTGGGGGTGCTCGCAGCACACCGTGCGGCAATCCACAACCGTGCCGCGACGCTGCGATTCCTCCACGAGGCTCCCGAATTTCTTCCTGAGCCCTGAGCTTAGTATGGTTAAAGATGTATATGAAGTCTATATATACATATATGTACATACACATATCATATATATGTGTGCATATATATATATATGCATATATATATATATATATGCATATATATATATATGCATACATATATATGTACTTATGTATGTATGTATGTATGTATGTATGTATGTATGTATGTATGTATGTATGTACACATGTGTATATATATATATACATACATATATATATATATATATATATGGTCGCCCCCCCCGTTGACAGACCATGCCCTTTCAAAAAAGTCCTAGTGCATGGTCTGTCATCGGATGGGTGGCAGCCAACCCACCGAAACTCAATTCCAAAATTTCCAAAAAGTCCGCCCTTATGTTCCCGGATGTCCAAAATTTCCAAAATTTCCAAAAAGTCCGCCCTTATGTTTCCGGATTTCCAAAATTTCCAAAATTTCCAACATTTCCAAAATTTCCAAAAAGTCCGCCCCTATGTGTTTGAAAAATCCGGTCCGATAGGTCGGGAGGTTTTGGAGATTTTGGAAATTTTGGAGATTTTGGAAATTTTAGAAATTTTGAAAATTTTGGAAATTTTGGAAATCCGGAAACATAAGGGCGGACTTTTTGGAAATTTT